TATCACTTGTATAAGGAAGTTGTCAGCAACACATTCCAGGAACCTCATTTCCTTCTCATTTCTTTTAGTTTCAAAAAAACATATTAGCTGCACCCAAACCTGACCAAAAGCCAAAATGACTTTCTAGAAAAAAAAGAATCTTTTTGGCAATCTAGTTGGTAATTCTGAACATTCTAGAAAGGATCTTCCCAGCAGTTGAGAGAATTAAAGCTTCACCATAGTTCTCACAGCATCAGCAGTCATCTTACTGTTTTCTAGTGCTTTTTTGGATGCAAATTAATACAACTCTTATTGCATGTTTTTGTAGCTATTGTTTTTTTTATTGTGAATTCAGTCAACAATATAGACTTTGTCTAAGCACTTCAAGTCCTATTGTGTTTTTTCAAAAATGATAGGGGAATTAACAGTATGTTGAATTTTGACTGGGTGTAACTTAGTACCTTTTTAAAAGAAGCCTACTGTGGTGTTCTAGCTGATGGGTCTAGAAGAACTCCAGATGTGTTTTTCTATCATAAACAAAAGTTAGACGTATGTTGTTGGCATATAGGTCTAGCTTGTTTTTAAAAACCTGTGAGAACGAGAGAAGATTGAATTTTCCCCAGACAGTCTGGTCTGTTGCTTCCATGATCTTCACCACAGGATATCTTAATGTCTGGTGTTTATCTTGTTGGCTAAAATCGACCTGGATACTCCCTGTCCCATCACTGCATCTCTAGAAAGCTGGGAAAGTGTCTGCCTGTAGACAATCTGCAGCTTTTTTGTTGTGTGGCTTTAAGGGACAAGTGAAGATATGTCTACGTGTAAATGGAAGTGAATAAAATTGGTTCAAATTTAAAACTGATTCCTTGGGCCTGCACGTGCACTACTAACAAGCTCTTTTCAACTTCTGGATTGAAAGATTGCTGTACAGACTAAGCTTTACAATTAAACCAGTGTTTTCAATGTCTTAGATCAATTCAAACTTCATTCCAATATCGCAATTCACTAAGTATGCAAATAGTAATGGTCACTGCATTGCAAAGATTGAAAACAGACAAAACCCAAACAAACAACCCACAAAAAACAGCACGCTTTTGGTATTAGTTAGCAGGGTGAGAAATGTTTCTACTTCAGCGCTCCCTGGAAAGTCTGAGGACAGGTTTTTAAGGTTTTCTGGTGCCACAGGATGCAGGTTGTTGCAGGTTGAAATCCTTTACTAGCATCCGCAAGAATGACAGATGGATACTCATCAGTTCAGAGATTACCACTTATTGGTGTAATAACACAGTCATAAATCCAAAATATTTTGCACGCTTTGTGAATTAATCATCTGAGATAGTCTTACGTCATTACTGCAATTAATTTCAGCTTTGGTTAACTGTATTTTGAATTAGTACGCCTGGATGTAACACATAGTAGCATGAATTGCAAATAGTAATGGTCACTGCATTGCAAAGATTGAAAACAGTCTTAAAACCCAAACAAACAACCCACAAAAAACAACACGCTTTTGGTATTAGTTAGCAGGGTGAGAAATGTTTCTACTTCAGCGCTCCCTGGAAAGTCTGAGGACAGGTTTTTAAGGTTTTCTGGTGCCACAGGATGCAGGTTGTTGCAGGTTGAAATCCTTTACTAGCATCCGCAAGAATGACAGATGGATACTCATCAGTTCAGAGATTACCACTTATTGGTGTAATAACACAGTCATAAATCCAAAATATTTTGCACGCTTTGTGAATTAATCATCTGAGATAGTCTTACGTCATTACTGCAATTAATTTCAGCTTTGGTTAACTGTATTTTGAATTAGTACGCCTGGATGTAACACATAGTAGCATGAATTATTTTACAGATGTCATGAAGTACTGTTTGTTTGTTTTTATATTGTTAACGTTTGTCTGAAAAGGTGTGCCAGATAACATTTCCCTCTGTTTCCCCTTCTCTCCCTAACACTGGACCCACAGCCTTACAAATCAATAGGTTTTAATGGCTAATTAACAAGATTAACTGTTTCCTTAAAATAATCCATTAGGAAAGCAGGCACAGACTGAATGGACTTAAGCCAAGCTTTTCTGTTGGTACATCCACAGTCTTTAATCAAGGTGAAAAATCACCGGTTAGAGTGTCAGTCTACCCTACGTGAAGCCTGACACACTTTAGCAATTCTTGCCTGGAATACATTGCTAATATATTGGAGTTTCTCTGGGTATTTTCACTGAAAATGGCAGTCTTTCAGGAGTGCCAGCATTCACATTACGCTGTTAAACATTAGAAAGCTGTACATTCACGAGAAAGTTGAAGGAAAAAACTGAGGGCATGTGGCTGTACTCAGGTGTGTTTGCAAAATACCGGTGTTGTCACGAATGGTGGGTGCTTAGCAGAGCACAGGGCAGGTTCCATGCCTTTACTGTTTCTCTTTTGCCATTGGAAATATCCTGGACACGAAGGTTTCACGTAATCTTGTGGTAACTGATTGGCCGTTCGCATTAAATAAACACCTAGCATTTAAAGTACTTTTGTGTTCTTTTCCTAGTGAACTTCTTATAAACTGTTTTCTGTCTAGGCATGACCTTAACAGTAAAACTTCATAACACAGAGCTTCTCAGATGGTTTACATGTGCTCCTCTTTTTAACCATGTTTTATGTACGTTACATAACGTACTGCATATTGGATAAGCTGAACTTCGGAAGTAATTTTATTAAAAAAAAAAAAAAGGCACAAAACAACCCCCAAACTGCCAAAAAGTCAGGCATGAGCCATCAGCTGGGGATGAGACACTGAGAATCACCAGCGATGTTGCTGCAGAAGTGAGGTGAGACGGGGAGGAAGTTGCCTGCGTGTGGTCAAGTGGGACCACCCTTGAGTTTAAATCTTCTTTTCTGCCTGCTGAATCATGGGGAACTTCAGAGATGACCATTGACTTTTACATCTGCAAATACTTGAAGCAAGTCAGAGCCATGTCAGATAAGTCATTATTTGAATAAGAAAACTTAAACTTGCTATTTGTTCACTCACAGTCAGAAATAAGTACTCAGAAACACTGTTGGTTTTACGCATTTTTCTGTAAGAAACTGTGTCTGGAAAGCAGATTCCCTGTATTCAGGTACATACAATTTTAAACAAAGACGGGCAAGGCTTTATTCTGCGTGTATCTTCACAGGTCTGGTTGAAGATCACGTGTTCAGTGTTTCTGCCAGGTAGCTGTTGCAGAAGTGACTAGCACTGTGTAAAATAACTCCTTACAAATATAATAAACCCTTTTCCCCCCCCCTTTCTCTTTCATAGGTAATGTACAAACGACTCCTGCAGCAAGCAGGTTTTATACAGTTTGCACAGCTTCAGTTCCTTGAAGCAAAAGAACTCTTCAGGTAATTGTGTGACAAGGAATTTATTAATTTATCATCTTTAAATAAGGAGTTGATGTTCTTGGATTTAAAAACTTAGTCACTTAAATGTTTTTTCATGCATATGCGAGTTCACTGTGATAAAATGTTTTTGTTGGGAGTAAAAACAGAGTAGCATTGCAACAACATTATAACTGACGAGTTACTGCAACTGGTTTTTGGTATGCTAACATACAGTAGCATTAAGGCTGTAATCCTGTAATCCAAGCGTTTTGTGTATTGGGACTTTTTCTGCGTTATGCCCATAAAGGTCAAAGATTTATTATTGAGCTTATGCTGTGATTTACAGCATGAACATTGCCTGGTTCTTTTCTTTTTTTTTTTTAAATAAATAAAGTTACAGTTTAAATATTAGTTAAATTTAAATGTTATTGATACAATTGCACTAATTTTTTGAGGACGCTGATACTGAATTTGTTTTAACATATGTTCAGCTAGAATCTTTTCCAGAAGAAACATTATTTGTTCTTGAAATCTGTAATAACCTTCCAGATTTAGCTGTTTCAGCAGTTACTTGTTTACAAATTGACCTTGGTGCTCCACTTTTAATCAAAAAATGCTGCTCATATCCTTATTTTACCTGATAATTTAATTTCTGCTACCCATGCCTCATTCTGTGGTGGAGCGCTTTCCAGGGTTACTGTAATCCATGCTGACCACATAACGTAACTCTTCTTGTTTTCTGCTGAAATTCTCTTGAAGTCAGTTGAGAGTCTACAGAATAGGATTACTGTATAGACAATTTGCTGTATGTTTGAAGTGTACACAGTGTAGTAAAATGTTGTCCTTGGGTTTATGGAAATGTATCAAGGAAAGTAATGCTTTGGGGAATGTTACTACTGATGAGGGGCTTTGCCATTTTGCCTCCTCACCAGGACAGTGGGAGACGCTGGGCTTGAATGGGCAGTGTACTCTGAGTGAAGATTAGGGAGTGACAGGAAAAGCCTGAACAGCGTTTAGTTGCAATTTGGTTTGGCCACAACCACCTTGTGTATCATCTTGTACCTTTTGGGACTAGTGAGCAACTTGGAATCTTCCTCCTCCCTGTATTCTTCCAAGCACTAGACTGAATCGCTGCTGTGTTGTGGTTCTGAAGTAGAAGTACAAGCTGTACGTAGTTAAGGATCCCTTACAACATTCCCAAAGCTCTTGCATGTGGCTTTTCAATGGACTTTTTCCCACTGTCTTCTGTGTGGCCAGCTTTGGTCAAACAGCTTGTTGAGGCTGTAGGGGCCATAAAGTGTCTTTATTGTCTAGGCGTGGTTAGGTGGCCAGGCTTGCACAGCTCTGCAGCTCTCTTGACTATGGCTGACACTTGCACTTCAGCTTTCTTTCTATCACTTTATTCTGCCCTGACTGGCAGTAATTCCCTGTGGGGCTTAATCTGGCGGCCCTGCCTTGCTAGTAGTGGCCCAGGGATCTTTTAAAAAGCAGTGAGAAGGGGGAAATATATTCTGCAGGGAGCTCCAGCACCTTGTGGAAGGAGCCAAGATCAGTTATGCAGCCTCTATCCGTCTAGCAGCCCATCTGACAAATGAGCTTTAATGAACAGGATTTGTGGGAACTCATCTTTAGAAACATGCGTCACAAGAAAACTTGCTGTCCAGGCATGAATTTTAGGCCTGGGTTGACATCCCAGGGCGTTCACTTCCTGTAAAAGCTGCAACTCCAAAGCAGAACAACTGTTCATGAGTTGCTGAAGCCTGCTGGGGGGAGAAAGCAAAGATGAGTGTTCTGTGTTTTTATTCTGGCCAGCCATACATAACCTATTCCGAGTATTTTGGTGACTGAAAAACTTCTGATGGAACCCAGGTTCCCTAATTTTCAGCCCTAGTGAACAAACCTATTTTGAGTAATAACTGGTTGTGCTCTAATATACACTCACAGAATGGTAAGGGTTGGAAGTGACCTCTAGAGATCCTCTAGTCCAACCCCCCTGCCAGAGCAGGATCACCTAGAGTAGATCCCACAGGAACAAGTCCAGGCGGCTTTTGAAAGTCTTCAGGGAAGGTGACTCCACCACCTCTCTGGGCAGCCTGTTCCAGGGCTCTGTCACCCTCCCAGTGAAGAAGTGTTTCTTCATGTTCAGGTTGAACCTTCTGTTTCCCAGGGTATGGCCATTGCCCCTAGTCCTGTCACTGGACACCACTGAGAAGAGCCTGGCCCCATCTTCCTGACACCCACCCTTTAGATATTGATAAGCACTGATGAGATCCCCCCTCAGCCCCCTCTTCTCCAAGCTAAACAGACCCAGCTCTCTCAGCCTTTCCTCATATGGAAGGTGCTCCAGGCCCTTAATCGTCTTAGTGGCCCTGCGCTGGGCCCTCTCAGTAGTTCCTTGTCCTTCTTGAGCTGAGGAGCCCAGAACTGGACGCAGCACTCCAGGTGAGGCCTCACCTCTCTCACTCAGTAGAGGGGGAGGATAACTTCCTTCAACCTGCTGGCCACGCTCTTCTTAATGCATCTGACACTCAGAGGTAAAATGGGAAAGACAATGGCAGTCTATGCAAACAACCTCCCACCCCCATGTGTTGCTCTGCAGGTGTTTCGAGCTAGTGTTAGTCAGACTTAAAATGCCAGAAGGGGAATTTGGGATCTATCTGAGAAAAGATGGATTTACCAGTGAAACAGAATGGCAGCAGTACCTCCAGGAACCTGTTATGTCATGGGCCTACTTCTGGCCAAATACAGAGTGAGATTTCCTCAGGAAGTCCCTGTCAGTTACAGGCTAGCAAGGAAATAATTATATTGGTGTAAAGGTCTTGTCTTCTTGCATCAATAATCCATCTTGATAACCTTGTCAAGATACAGTTCTGTCATAGAATCACAGACTGGTTTGGGTTGGGAGGGACATTAAAGACCATCTGTTCCAACCCCCCTGCCATGGGCAGGGTCACCTTCCACTAGACCAGGTTGCTCAAAGCCTCATCCAGCCTGGCCTTGAACACTTCCAGGGATGGGGCATCCACAGCTTCTCTGGGCAACCTGCTCCAGTGTTAGAAGCATATGTTAAGCATATCTTATGCTTAACTTCATAGTTCTTAAATACCAAAACTTTTAAGGGGAGTACTTTCCTGCTAAGGTTTTTTTGGTTATACTGGTATTTCTGAATACTGAAGAAGGCTGACAAAAAGGAAGGAAGTGGTAGCTTTATTGAAACTAAATGATTCAGCCAAAGGAAGAGAACTTTCTTCATCTGGATTCACTAACTTTGAGTGAGCTGTCCCACTGCGGCGGCTTCCTTGGTCTGAGAAGTTCCTTTATAAGCTATAACAGAATTGCTATTGTGCTGTAGTTGTGACTTAGCTATTATATTTTTGCCATTCTGTATGGCTGTCACTGGAGGCTCACACGCAGTTACACCAAACAGCGATGTCCTGTAAGCTGTTTGCTGCATTGTAGATGTCTTGCCGAGATGTTGGTAGCTGCCACAGTAAAACCATTTCTCTCCAGTGTGTGTGGTTGTGTCCTTTCATTGGTTAGATGTTGCTTACAGTCTTGACATGCCAGATACTGACACTACTCTAAACTTTGTTGCTTTTTTAACAAACCAAAATGTTTGTTAAACACTTTTCTCAGTGTTGTCTCACCTGGGAAAGGCTGTAGAGAGACTTACAGCTGAAGTATCTCCTGCACTAGAAAAGTTAAAAAATTGATGGTGCTTACACCTGGAGGTAGATAACAAGTACTACTCAGTGTGAGATTTGCACCTGAAATGTGTTTCAAGATTATAATTTTATTATTATTATAAACTATTACAGCCAGTGGGATTCAGGCACAACAGCTAAATCGTGTAGGCTTCTTTGACTTGTCTGATATCTGTAAATTCAAGGGTCTGAATTTAGACCTAAGCTTCCTGAAAACTTGCAGATTCTGCCTGTTGCATTGTTTGTCTGTAGATATGAAGCCAAGCAAGACCTAATGCAGAATTACTGGAAGGGAAGCATTGACAGCTTGACTTAAGAACCTGTTTCCTACTTTGTGATAAGTTGCTAACTACAGTTTTGCTAAAGCTGAAGTGCTAGAAGTTTAAGGCTCAAATGAGTTTTTCCAAGAGAAATGAGATCCTTTGCAGCTCTTCTTAAACTGCTTTCTCCAAATGTGGTGGAAAGAGGTGCAGGACATCCACAGATCCCAGGACCCCTAAGTCTTAAGATGAATGTGAACCATTCCTGCAGGTGGGGTCGTTGTTCAGTATTTGGTGTTTTTCTGAGGATGGTTGTTCTGGATGATACTGTGCTTTTAAGGAAGCTGCTTGATTGCTGATTACCATTGCTGTGGGGAGAGCAGAAGGGTACAACTTGAGCGTGAGTCAGACCTGCTGAGGGAACCACTGGTGATTCACAGCCCAGGGTTTGGGCTAGCCTGGGTTGGTAGCTGGTTTTGATTCTTCTCTTGGGAAAACGGTTGGTCATTTAGGCATCCATGAAGTTCAGAGATGAAGTAGCAGACTACTTTCTCATCTAGGAGAAGCCAGATGGTAAGACGAAAGGCTGCAGAAACTGCTGTAGAAGTTGGAAAATGTTTTAAAACCTTTCTAAAAGTGACGTGTTAGATACAGCATTTTTGGCTTCTTCATCTGTCTTCATGGTCATAGTCTCCACCTCAAGCTTAGGTCATCTCCAAATACTGGACAGCGTAGCCAGCAAGGGAACCAGTGTTTATACTTGAATTTCTGCAGATTTATCAAGACTCCTTGCCTCTGCACTAATTCTGAGTAACCTGTTCATGTTACTCAAGTTATGGGTTAACTTCTGTATAATTAATCAGTGAAGAACCTTGGAGGGGAAAAAACCCCCACCCTCTTCTTTCTTTAAATAGGGTTAATTTTCAAGTGTAATACTTGTCATGTAATACATTTTATCTGGTGGTCCTCAGATCTTTTGAGAGTAGTTGGACCCCCAATGCTGCAGTTGGATTACTGTAACAAGTTCGTACTGGAAGCCCAGATGTTCTTTGAACCATCAGGTCACGCCAGTGGCAGAACTTTCTACTTCTTGGTTATCCTTTCTCTTATAAAAAAATCCTCATCTGTTTCTGAGTTCCATCATAATGTAGATCTGAGAATTTCAAAACCAAGTATCAGGTCTGAAAAGATGGATTAAAAGGAAATTTCAACTGCAGAAGTCTGCAAAGTGAACATGAACACTTTACTCTTGGTCTGGCCTTTCTGGTGTAGAGGTGTGGTTTAGGCAGTAGGAGGTCTGTGCAGGGATCAGAAAGCCTTCCTATTCAAACCTCATAGGAAGGCTTCCCTTGTTCATTTTTTTTCTCAGTAGTGGTCCTCTACTGTTTGTGCTGCGGTTCGCACACTTTGCAGTCATTATGTTCTGGAACAGGACATTTGCTGCTGTCTTTTAGGATTTCGTTCTTCTCGGGTCAATTTCTGTAGCCAAAAGACAGTATTTACTTTTTCTTTAAAAAGTTCTGAATAGGTGAAATAGGTGTTGCCATGGCGATGCTTCCTACTAGTTCATCTTCCTGGATGGTTTTGGAACTGTGCCTGGCAAGAAATGTACAGCTCGGGGCATGCCCCGCTGCTTTAGTTACTTCACAACGTTAGGGAAGGGATGAGCCTTCTTGAGAGGATCTTTCACACTTGATTGCCTGCAGCAATCTGTTGCTTTGTCTACTTCCATGGTTATAACTTGATTCTCTTTGGAATTCTTTCCAATCAAGGTTGTGAAGAGAATCTTTTTGAGGTTGCTGATCACTAGATAACTTTTTTTTTTAGTTTTATTTGGAACAAAGTAGTAACTAACCAGGGTTTCTTTTGGAGACCTGTCAGTTCATTTTCACTTTTTCCAGCAGCGGTGTGTCCTGCATTTCAGGAATGCTCACGTTTGAAGATGAATTTTGAATAATGACTTTGACAGGGAAATAAAATCTAAATCTTGATTTCTTTATGTTCTTCTAAAGCAAGGCCTGGGACAAGGTTCATTCTAGCTGTGAAAACTGGGGAGTTGTTTGCCATGTGTGAAAAAGCTGCTCATTTTATTCTGTCACAACATGCATTCTTCAAATGCTTGAGGAACTTCTTCAGACTAGGCTGAAAGAAGAATGTTGTGTGTAGCATATGTGTGTTAACAGCTTCCTCCTGGGTATAGGTGCCCTTCACATGTGAAGTGGAAAAGCCACTCCACAGTGTCTGATACAGGTGTGCACCCAAGACCTATGCCTCTGCAACGGACTCATTATGCATCCGTCTAACCGTTACCCACGGTTCGTTCTCAGAACCTCCTTGAGAAGTGAGCCAAAGGAGGAATCGGTGCATCTCAGGGTTGGGGAAAACATTTTCACCATCCAAATATGTGTTCTGAAAGCTTTAATTTTCTACAGGAAGCTGTAGTAATTGCTGTTTTCTACAGAATTACACTTGCACAGCCTTTGTGGCTTGCCTGAAAGGGTTCACTCTCCATGCTTTTTGCCTCCATCAGATGAGCTCCCATAATGTATGGATGAAGTCTAGGACAGTCCTAGGAGCTGCATTAAGGATATTCAGCTGATTTTTGTATATCCCACAGAACAGCTGGGGGATGTCAAAATCAAAAGGCTGGCTAGACTCGGAATTCTCAGCTTTCAATGTCTAGAGGAGGAAAAAGAATGGTAAGTCTGGATAGAAATAGCAAAAAAAGAAATCTAGATTTGTCCTAAGTATACTTTTTCCAGCATAGAAATCAGTAACTTTCAGAAACTGACAACCTGTTAGTGTCCTGACACTTAGTGTAAGTGAGCGCACATTCCCAGTATGTTATTTTTTTGTGCCTATGTATACTTTTTCTTTCTTTTTGCTTCATCTAGTTTGACACTGTAATTGCAGAAGCGGCCAGCTTGATGTCCGGGAGCTGATCTCTCTCTACCCCTTCCTGTTGCCTACTTCCTCTTCATTTATACGGTCTCACCCCCCTCTGCATGAGTATGCGGACCTAAACCAGCTGACCCAAGGGGACCAGGAGAAGATGATGAAATGCAAACGATTCCTCATGAGTTACTTGAATGAAGTCCGCAGCACTGAGGTTGCCAATGGCTACAAGGAAGATATCGACACAGCTTTACTCAAGCTATATGCAGAGGCAAATCATGAAAGCCTGCTGGATCTGCTCGTTTCAGAGAACTTTTGTCTTTTAACAGACAGTGCTGCCTGGCTGGAAAAACATAAAAAGTGAGTGGACTTTTTGAGTACTGCATCTTTGAGACCAGAGGAAAAATTGTCTTAAATGCTATTTGCTTCTAGAGCAACGTGTTCAAATCCTTGTAGTGTCTGTGCCTTCAGGTCCAAGAGACAACTTGGCCTGACTTGTCAGCACTTAAAACTATTGGTAAAAAGGTAGTAATTGACAGTCTGAAGTAAAGGAAATGCAGTCTGTTTATGCTGGTAAATACAGAACTCTCCCTGAAAGTTTGTATGTCAAACACAAAAATAAAGGATTGATACAATCTTGGGGGGGAGGATCATTTGTTTGCCCTTGTGACAGTGTGGGAGTTGAATTGACACAGTAGTAGAGGTACTCAGACAGAATGAAAAGATGCCTTAAAGCACGCACTACCTTAGGTGGAAGCTATTAATCAGATAGTGGCTTTAAAACTGTAGTTGCTTATTCAGGGAATGAGATCTCACTTGTGAGTAGCATACTTTCTGAGCTCCCACTGATTCACCAAAAGGAGGTTGCTTGAGATGACTGCAAATGACTTCAAATTGGAAATGCCAGCAGGTGGAGAGTTGACTGTCATTAAGCAGGAAACACTAGGTAGTAGATGTGTAAAATACAAACTCCTGTCGTAGGCAGTGTCTCTGTCTTCAATTTAATTATTTAATCTTTGAACTGTGTGGTGCAGTAGTGGCAACTACAGTGGTAAGGAGGAGTCTTTGTGGTTAGATTTAGCATAGTTTCATTTATTTCAAGTGTTTTGGAAGTAACTTACTCTGGGTAAGCATCGTTTGCATGTCGAACTTGTGCAAATATGATTGGTGGAACGTCGTTCCATGACAACAGGCCTTACAGAAGTTTAGCTGTATTTTTACTGCGGTGCACACACCAAGCCCCACACCTCTGTCATGGCACTGCACAAAGCTCTTCCTTTGCCTGACTTCATGCTGCAGTAAAGGAAAAAAACGTTTCTGATAGTAAACCAGAGCTTTAAGTAAAAGCTTCATAAAAATTACACCTGATCTAACTATTTGAAAATTATGTATTCTTTGGAGCTGTGTGTTAAGTCTGTATATAAAATTCAAAGAACGGCATGGGAATCGCCTCTAACTTGACACATACTTTATTTAGATTGGAGCTGGTAACTAGAAACTGCCTTAGAGACAGGAGACAAACACATTTCTAGAGCAGAACTTCTCTCCTTTGATTCTGAAGAGGAGTCTACAGACAGTTGGACAAGTGTAGACTTGGCTATGTACATGTCACTGTAAGAAATGATTTGTTATTTTCTGTGCTAATCAAACCATAATTAAATTGGTGGGAAAGATCTAGGGATTTTAATATTATTTTCTCTTCCTGTGCAGGTATTTTGCACTTGGTCTCCTGTATCACTACAATGGTCAAGATGCTGCGGCGCTGCAGGTTAGAATAAAGCTTTTAGTGTCATCGGTAAACCATTTCAAAATACCAGTTTACCTCTGAGATAAAAATCTGAGGTGCTATTTATCTGCTTGAGAAGTAGTTCTAAGTTGTGTGTATCATTTGCTTTTGATCTTAAACATGCACAAAACACATGAAAAGTATACCATGCAGTTTGAGAAAAGGACTTTTATCAAAGGTTCTCTTTGTGTTCAGGGTACTTCCTCCTGAAGCACTCGGCCAGGTGCTCTCAGGTTGAGAACCTAGGTCTGAATTAGTTGAATATGGCAGGTGCAAGAAAAGCCCCTGATGGAGAGGAGGCATAAATTTAGTGATCCTTGCAATTGGTGTTCCTAGGAGCTCTTTGTAATTCCACAATACCTAATGCTAAGTGTTGTAGTAGCTCACATACATTTTGCGTTGGAAGCGTTAGTACATGTGCACCGTTGAGCAACCTGGTCTAGTGGAAGGTGTCCCTGCCCATGGCAGGGGCGTTGGAACTAGATGGTCTTTAAGGTCCCTTCCAGCCCAAACTGTTCTGTGATTCTGTGATACTGTGTTTTAAGCACTTGAATCTGTGTGTTTTTTTTCTTGCAGTTATGGGTGAAAATAGTTGATGGAGACATTCAGGATTCTACACGTTCAGATCTCTATGAATATATCGTAGACTTCCTTACATTCTGCTCAGACCACGATCTAGTGTGGAAATATTCTGGATGGGTTTTACAAAAAAACGAAGAGGTTTGTGATTGGTGTGCTTCCCACAGAATATCATAAGTACAAAGTGTTGCCCTGCGGTGGTGTTTGGGTGTTCGTTAACGTTGTTCCATCTCGATAGCTGCTTGGACCGTTTTTGCAGAGTATTTCATGCCAGTTAAATTGTCATCAACAGAAGAAAGCGTTGAGGTTTCTCCATTTTTCTAAGTCCCTGTGTTAACAAGTGCTAGTGATAATTGCCTGTTTCTTCTGAAAACAAAGTTTAGGTCATTCTGTACAATGAAAGGTACAGCATGGCTTCTGTTTTTTTTCATATTAAGCACGATAACGTCCAGGTCTTGATGGGGGGGAATCCTAACGGGTTGACTGTTGCTGCTGTTTCTTTTTTAAGAGGATTCCAGCAATGGGTGATACCTGTGTGTGCTGGGATGGGGAATAAATAGTCTTCATTCAATTCAAAACCTCATTGCTTACAAGAATTAACTTAATCCACCAAAAGTAAAAAAGTAATCATTTTCTGTCATCCACTAGTGTGGTGTGCTGTTAAATGGGATGCCTGATGCTGTATTAGACAATCTCTGCTGTTGGAACTTGTCACTGCCTCATTTGTACTGATTTAAAGCTCAGGTATTACATGCAGTGACAGATTTCTCAACTTGTGGTTTGGGGTCAACGTAGAAGCGTCATGCTCTGTGTGTATCGTCGCATGAGATAGGGCTATAAATATTCTGGTCTTCTAACTCGCGCTTTCTTGCTGCAAAGGCCAAAGTCTCTTGTTGTGCTGTTGGGCAGATCTGCCCAGTACTCTTCGTGGCTGGTGGAGGGTGTGCCCAACACAAGGCTTACGGCTGAACAATGTGTTGACTACAAATGGATGTAGGAACAGAGAGAGGAGTGAGATCTTGATAAGCACCAAGTAGCATAGTCTTGGTGGTGTTGAGCGGGGTTTTGTGTCGTTTGTCTTCCCGAATAATGTACCAACTAATCTGAGCGTGCTGTTAAATAAGTATTTAAAGTAAAAAGGTAATGAAATGGTTACCACTGAGTTCCTAAATGCAATTAACCCTTTCCAGGTTGGAGTACAGATTTTCACTAAAAGGCCTTTGGAAGAACAGGAGAAAAACAACATTAATCCAGATGATATCATCAGTTGCCTTAACAAGTATCCTAAAGCACATGTTAAATACCTAGAACATCTAGTATTGGAAAGAAAAATAGAGGTGAGTCCTACAACAACACTAGAAATAGGCATAGGATTCACAGTGCAGACTGTGATGAACAACTCTGAAAAAAGCCCAAAGTCTAGAAGAAATAAGCATAATTTGAAGGCTTTCGGGACATACTGAAAGTAGGATAGGAGTAATATTAAGATAAAAGTAGATGAGGAGTGGATATCTGCATTATTTTTAACTCTTCAAGACAGTTGCTTGCCTCCCTCAGAGGTTTTTTCTTTCTACATCTGATTATTGCATACTTTCAGTTTCACTGCTGAGGGTCAATCCTCCATCGTGTAAGATCACAGAAAAATCGTTGAGCAACTGCTAATCCTATTGCACAGTGGCAGCAATATACTAAAATTGTTAATTCAGCATTTTATAAGTAGGTATGTTTTATTCTGTCCTTCTGGAGAGATTTGAGCAGTTAGTGATAGAACTAAATCATGCGCCTCTCCCTGTAGAATTCCAGACCACTCTAGATGTTGAATGTCCAAAAGACGTGCTCACAAGTCATGAGTGACAGTGTATTCCATCTTTCGGGTTTTTAAGCTCTACACAGAAGCAGCCAAACATGATGAAACTTGGATATGAGACGTTAAAAGCACGGAAGTTGCTTTAACCTGCAAATAAAGCAAGGAAATGAACACTGAAAGAACTCAGCAGAACTGATGACCAGTTCACTGACTTGCGTTCTTCAAATGCACGTGCTAGATCAGGGGTTTCCCTCTGAGTCTACTGCAGACACAACAAGGTGTCTAACACCATGTCGGATGAATGTACCTGTTTCTGATGTCATGAATACTTTCAAACAAACGTCTTGAGTTAAACATAGTGCCTTGTAGAATATTTGTAACAAAAATAACATAGTTAAAACCACCTGCTAGTAAAGGGTGACTTATAAATTGATTTGGTTTTTAGAAAGCACTAGATTATCGTGAAAGCTTATTGAGAATGTTTCAGTCAAATCATCAACTCGCTTTGATGAATATGGGGGAGTGGATAACACAAAACACGCTGTGCCTTCAGAATGCTTGTCTGCCTCTGGTGGTTTTCTCAAATTTTATTGCAGAAACAGGAAAGGTCAAAAAACATACCTGTATATTTTGCCAGGGAAATAAGAGGAGAGGACGCAGTGGAGATCATACTTGTACGTGGAGGAGGGAGATCTGCTTTCCTGCATTGACTTTCACTAGGTGAACTTCTGAAAGGAAATAATTACTGCACATGGAAAGCTTTTTTTATAGATGTTGTTTATTTAAGGTAAAAAGGAGGTTAGGAATAAGATGTTTCATATCTGCATTTTGGAAATACTCGTATCAATGAAATAGAGAATCCCATACTATAGGTACAGTGTTATTTTCTGAAGCTGGTCTGAATAAGTTGTCTTTCTTCATGAACAAAAGACTTTCAGATTAATTTGCATTAAATAAACGAATTTAAATGCATTTCTATGTAAATATTCATCACTGTTATTGGCGGGGAGAAGAGGCTGTCTTTGTGAACTGGGCTAACATTGTTCTTTTCATCTGCAGAAAGAAAAGCACCATACTCATCTAGCTGTCTTGTACTTGGAGGCAATACTTCAGCTAAAATCCGTGACCACAGATAATTGTACAGAAACAACTGAACTGCTGTTTAAACTACGCAGTCTGCTTCAGAAATCTGATCTTTATAGAATTCACTTTATTTTGGGTAAGATGCATGTCTGTTATACATGCCTTATGTCAGTTCCAGCAGGAAACAAAATAAAGCTTGAAACAGGGTAGAAAACTAGAAGATCTGAGGTTTCTAGGTGTATGTGGTTGACAGGCCATCTGTATTTCTGACAGACACAAATTAATTTAGAAGGGGATATCTGTTAGTGTTGTCTTTCACCTCCCATAGCTTGTGAGGTACAATGGTATGTTTGCCACTGCCCCAAAACGAGAATACCGTAACAAGCTAGAAAAAAAATCTTCACACAGTTATCATCTTAATTTATAGTCAGTTTCTTTTTAATGAGGAGCATGTAACTTGTGACACTGTTGCAATGGAAGACTTACAAGTTGTTCTTGTTCAGCAGCCTGTTTCTCAGTGAACTGAAGCAAAGCTTTGAGGAATCTGATTACCAAGGACTCATTTGTTCTCCATAACCCACTTTCACCCCAAAAGCTGGGGTTCATGCTGAACAAAAACACGAGCATAATTTGGAGTGAGAAGTGCAATGTATGTCTTACTGTTGGTATGAGGCAAGCAACAGTTGAGCCAAATTTTTTCCTTGGCCAATGCTTGCAGTGGCTGATTTTTAATGTTTCATCTGCAGTGGATGGAAGGGAAATGACTTGTTATTGTACTGAAAGATGAGAAATGTTTTTCTGAAATTCACCAGAAAAACCCAGTGGATGTGCAGATAAAAATAGCTGAGTAGCAACTAAAATAATTTACCAATGTTTAATGTCCCCTTGCTTAGCCAGTCAGCAAAACATTGTATGACAGGTAATGTACAAGTATAACACAGTCATTGAAACTCTTGCTCTTTTTCATCTTCTAATTTTTAACCAAGTTTTTAAGGGCAAGAGTCGCAAGATGGATTATTCTCTTGAAACCCATGTACTCCAAAGCACAGGATTTCTTACATGATAATTCTTGTCTTACACAAAGGTGAAATCAATGCATGCTGATGTGTTCCTCTGTGATAACAAAGGTATTCTGGGGACAAAAATATTGTCTTTCCATACCTTTCACAGAGGCCTATGCCAAATCTTTTATCACCTTTACGATAAGTAGAGGATTTTTTTACTTTATCGTGAAATACCTGATGAACTTTCCATTCCCCGTGCCTGTCACTGACACTTTAAACTATCAGACTGGATTAAGGGTTTGTAGTGTCCTTTTCTTGAGGAGAAGTATTATTTGATCTTTATTGTCTTTTATGGACCTTAAACTATTCTGTAATTTTCTATAATACTGGGAGAAGCAGAGGTTAATACTGCGGCTTCATCTTAGTTTTATCGTACGTGGTAGCAGTGCACGCAGAAACACGCAAGACTGACGTTCTAGAGCTTGAGAGATGTCAGTGACACTGGTTCTATCACCTGTTATTTAGTAATTTGTTTGTTCAGAGATGTGTTTCTGTACACCTAGGTGTTCTTGGGCTGATAAATACCCGTTCCCTTTATAGGTGCCAGCACCCCTGCAAAAATAGCAGGAGTTGAGTTCGGTTGGCTTGTTTGCATTGAATCTGGGAGAGGGAGTAGTTATCTTCTCCACTGAGCAAATGCTGCCTTTTTTTCTCACTTAACAGACAAAATCCAGGGCACAGACCTTCATATGGAAAGTGCAATTTTATATGGAAAACTAGAGGAACATGAGAAGGCTTTACATATCCTTGTCCACGAGTTAAAGGACTTCCGTGCTGCTGAGGAATACTGTATATGGAACTCTGAAAACAGGGACATGCAATACAGGCGGAGGCTTTTCCATATGCTGCTGTCAGTGTATTTAAGTCCAGGCGCTTCGGACTGTATGCTAGTCATGGCTGCTGTGGATCTCCTGAATAACCACGCTGCTGAATTTGATGCGGCTCTAGTTTTGCAGCTGGTGCCCGACAGCTGGTCAGTGCAGCTCCTCTCCCCATTCCTGGCTGGAGCAGTGAGGAAAAGCATTCATACGAAAAGAATGACTCAGGCTACGCTTGGGTTAGCACAAGCTGAAAACTTAATCTACAAGCACGAGAAGGTAGGTTGGGTTTGGTGATTGTTTAAACAGAGGCACTTTGAAGGTTTACAATAAGGCCCTCGATACATAATAATCAGAAGTCGTCTGAAGAAGTAAGACAAAGTTGTCTTCATGTCCTTGGCAATTTTACTTATTGCCTTTATCATGGGGTTTTTTGCCGTAACTACTAGATTCAAACTAAATTTTATGCTTCCTCTGTAAAACAAAAGGGAAGGTGGGAGTCTTGAGGTAGGAACAACTCTGGTGAACTTCTGAGCTGATTGAAAGTGAATCTGGGACTTACAGGTTAACGAAGTTCTTGCAGAAACCTTAACAAATGTGAGTTAGCTTTTTTTTTTTTTCCCTCTAGGATTGAGACCTGGCACAACTTGAGGAAAAGTTTACCCAGCACTTAGTATTAATTGAAGCTTGTCAGTAGCTGTTGCTAGTGGTAAATTCACTGGTGAAGCTTGCTTCTGTTCCTAGCTAGAGCTGTGTTGCTTCAAGCTCCCAGCAGATTCTTAAGACTGTTTAGTTCTAATGACGGTATATCCAGCAGAATCTGTCTGGAATAAAAATGGTCAGTGCTCAGTTTGCTGTGGAGTTGCCCTGTGACCTTGTTTAGGAAGCTGCAGCAGGTTTTCAGATGCCTTCCAATGTGTGAGTGCTTTTATTTATTAAATAAACAAGAAGGAGAAAAGGAAAAGAGCAGCACTTTAGAGAAAGCATGAACATGAATGAGTATGAATGTGGAAATTGAGTTCAAGTTAAATAGCTGAAGCTGTCTTTTCCTACTACCTCTGTCATTGACTGGGTTTATTGAAATTATATGCCTCCTAACTTCCCTTTCTTTCTTGCTAGATTCATGTTTGGATTTTTTTCCTTCTCTGTAGGTTAAACAGAAAGGAACCCCAATTCTTCTTTCGGACAAAAAGGTCTGTCAAGTGTGCCAAAACCCTTTCTGCGAGCCTGTATTTGTAAGATACCCAAATGGGGGTATGGTCCACACGCACTGTGCTGCCAAGAGACACCTGAATTCCAACATGACTCACCACTCTTCCAGCTCTAGCAATCAGACTTGAAATAATGTTCCAGTCCCACAGGTTCCCATGACTTACACCCCGTTGAAAGTGGGCTGGAAAAAAGAACCAAGTGCAGCTACTTTAGGTGTAAATCAAGATGAACTGCTAGTCTTTGAATCAATGGGAAGACTTCCAGTAAATATGAAATATCACCACTTATCTTTTTGATTTCTAATGAATGTAGATAGGAAAGAAAATTCACTACAAGAAATGGAGAGGTGAAAATCTAGGCTCTTCTGTATATAGTAATACACAGCTAAAGAAAATGGGCCTTTTCTTCACAGCAAGGATGAATGTTATTGGAGCGGAGGCAAACAGTTACTTAAGAAATGTCACTTTGCACTGAACGTGGTGTCGATAAATCTGTAGAGGTGGAGATGGCGTCTGTTGGAGTTGGAATTCTTGGAACAAGAGAAGACTGGCATCACGCAGCTCATTATCAGGACAGAAATGTGGGTTGGTTGTAACGTTTGCTGCAGCACATCCCCTTCTGGGCTGGATTCTCTTCCCCAGGATCACATTATGAACGTGATTTGTGCTCTACAAATTGTTGGCTTTTGATGCACTTTTTAGTACTCCTCCCCCACCATGCCCCCTGCTATCTAGAATTTAAAGGTAGACACGGGTCTGTTAGGCTTCTACTCCTGCAGTTACTGTAATAAAACGAGTGGAAACTGGTAGCCTCGGTCACCCAGCTGTGATTGGAAGAGAAACCAAACCAAGTCAGGTCGTCTGGTCAGGCTGCAGTCACTTTTGTATGGGGGAAGAGACCTTAACTTTAATAATGGATTTATTTATTAATATGCAAATATACTGTACATACAGTTGAATAAATTGATCTTACATCATTCTAGAGTTTCTCTGGAGGATGAAGATGTAGCTGATACATAATGTACAGGTTACGTGCTAAATGTTTGCTGTAACATAACTGAGGTGGACTGGAACTCCACAAGAATAGGTTTTAGTGCTTGTGGTTGGTTGACTTTGTGCAATCAAGATCACGGAAAGAAGGTGTAATTGGGAAGAAATCTAGAAAGGTGCACTGCAGGGGTACTGGATTTGTTACATTCTACAAAACATTCTGTAAACAAAAGGTTTTCAATCGACAACAAAACCCTTTTACTTAACTGCCCTGGTAAGTATTCACGTTGCTACTGAACCATTTTAAAGGAATGGGTTTAAAAGAAGCAGCTTCCTGCAAGAGATGTTCAAAAATGATGACTTCAAATAAATTTAAGTCTTTCAAAGTCAAAGCATTTCTTTTAATTCTGGAAAGCTCTGATCAGTACCAGGCTTACTGGCCAGCACGTAGTTGAGTTAGTACGGCAGCTCGCTGTTGCAGCGTTCCAAATCGGAGCGGAGACTTGTAGCAAAAGGAGGTTCCTGCGTGGTGCCTTCTAGGCACGGTCTTGGCGTGGGTCTCCTTTTTCGGAAAGGTTGGCTTGTGAAACAGCCCTCTGAGCATAGTGCTGCCTCCAGGAAAGGGCAACCAGACTGCATCCAGGGGAGAAGAGGTAAACATTTCCTTGTCTTTGAAGCAAAATGCCTTTTGGATCTTTCTCTTTCCTGAGTTTGAAATTACAACAGTATAGCTGTCAGATTTTCATATATTTTATTAAAACCCAGCACGATAAGGAATTGTGTAGCGCTTTCTGCTAACACATGTAAGCCACATATAATGAAAGGCACCTTCAAAAAAGGCAAATGTTGGCTTTTTTGACTTAATTCTGGCATGAGCAATTCTCCCATGTTGCACCCTGGTGAGCAGATTCTTCTGTAGCTTGTATTCATGGTTTTCAAACATGGTGTGTGCCGCTGGCAGTGATGGCATGGACAAATTTGTAGTGCCTTGCCCTTGGAATGTTTGCTGATAGAGAGGAAGTGATTTTACAGAGATCTGATAAGCCTTTTGCCTACGGTAGCATGAGATTTGTAATCTTTTACTGCGAGCATCCTCAGTTCGCTTTGTTGCTATCGAAGAAGGAGGTACTATAACGAATACCGCTCTCTGAGACTGACTAATTGTAGCCTCTAGGTAGTGATGAACTTAGTCTTGTCAGCTGGTGTTGCAGTGGGACAGAGATCGTATCGTTTCAGACCACGAGCAAGTTCTTAATTGTTATTGCACGAAAAGGTATGGCTGTCAAAGATTAAACGCTTCTTCGTTAATATGCAGCACCCTTTCAGAGTTGTACTTCGGCGAAACCGCAGCAGTAGCGACAACTGTCCGTACAGAATAAACACAGAAATGGAAGCAAAGCGAGGTAGCATATTTGCGGCCCTAGATAACCAAAAGGGGGATTAATGTAAAAGTTGGGGGATCTAATTCTTTTGGCCTCTCCTGGAATGTGGACGGGACACATAACGACATTTGACTCACACGTCGTTCCTTTGTGAAGTGTCATACTAGAACTCGTTTGGACGAAGTAGGCTGGGGCAGAGCAGGAGCCCAGCAGGGAGGCGGCAGGGGGAGGATGCTCTTGCAGTGTGTGTACAGCGTTCGGCCCGCGGGATGATACTGAGCCAGAGGAGATGACTGCCTGCAGTGGAGCGGCGCGTGGCTTTCTGTGCTTTATCGCCAGGGCATTTATGAGAAAGGGCTGCCTTCGGGTTCCCATGGGTAGGACAAGTGCGACGCCCCTTGAGTAAAGAGAACTTGGAGAACACGAGTTCGTTCCTCCTTGTATTTTGGCACTCCCAGTTTGTTGATTGTTGTTTTGCATGGCTGAGCTCCTGGGACAGCATTGCTGCTGGGGTCGGTTCTTCTGGCGTGGCTGCAGCAGCACAGAGGGAATGAACGGGAATGCGGCTGTCAGCTGCTGACTGGGTCCCTGAAGGAGGAGAGGCAGGAAAGCTCGCCTTGAAATTTCCAAAGATGTCTTTGACCATCCTTCTAGTTTGGAAATTAAGTGGGTTCTGGGAGTTTAAGCACGATGCAATCTTGTCTCCAGTTAGGGAATGTGGTGTCTTAGACCTGCCCTTGGAGAGAAGAGATGGTGTCAGAATATTTCTCCTTAAATTAGCTCTTGCTAAATTATTTGTTTGTAATTCATCTCTCACACTTTTTCTTTCCAGTGACTCCCTTAGAATCACAGAATCTTTTAGGTTGGAAAAGACCTTTAAGATCAACTTCTCTTCCAACTTCATGTGGGTGAAAACCCAAACAGTAGAGCCAATTTTTTTCTTTTTTTTTGTAATGTGACAGTGTGTCTGTGATTCAGGACATCATAAATGAGAGGCATCTCTCACACAGATGTGTGTGTTTGCAGATACTGAGGCACATTTGCTTAACCTGGAGCTTCTAACTACAGAAATATTGCAGCTCTGACTTTTTTTGTAGCCATCCTCTGTTACAGTGGCCGATAGGCACAAAAAGCCCTTGTTATAAACCCTCTTCTACTATTTGGTGTCTCCATGCTTCCTCACATAAAAGTTACACGATGTCTGTATGTCACCGTACACGGTTTTTCCCCCCAGTCAGAAAGAGAGGAAAAATACTAATGAGAAAACAGTGCCCAGAATCTGGCACTCTGACCAAAATAAGATTAATGGCTGTCCGTGTATGAGCGAGAACTGGGTTAGGTCTTCATTTCTGTGCGTTAAAGGGGTGAGTGGTGACGTGGATAATGTTACCCTGATCTTAGAGTCTGGCGACAGTCAGCAGCGGGTGACGGTTACACGGAGCACACGGGTGCCTGTGGACCGCCTTCTGGGGGCAGCCCCTGCTGCGGCGGCTCAGGTGTGCGCCAGAGTCCGGGTTACAGTGAGAGCTGCTCTCCCTGCTCCCTCCCCCGCCCAGTCCCCAAAAACTGTCCAGCCTTTGTTACCTGCTTCATGTCCCTCTTCTAGCACCTGACTGACGGGGGTGTAAACCTCGAGTGCTGGCTGGACTCCTGAGCACGTCTGTTGAGTAACATCTGGCTGTGTTACGCCAACCGCGTCAAACCCTGAGAATGCCAGCTGCGGAAGGTAGTGGTAGGCATGGCATACGCGGGTGTTTGCCGGGACCTTTACTGCGTGTTTGAACACAGAAGCAGCATCCTGACTCTGCTGAATCTTTATAACGACGTCTGTTCTTTGCAGGACTCCTATCCTGAATACCATTAAAAATGCTTTATTTTATACAGTGGTATCAAGAAGTAACTACTTACTACTCTTCCCAATTTGCCACAGTAATTCAGCGTAGCTCTGTTTTGTTAGCATCCTGCTGTTTATAATAGGCAGCAACTAACACATTTTCACTGTGAGCCCTCCTCCTATTGCCTCTATTTGCTAATTAATGTTTCTCTTGCTGTACAACACTTGGAGGCCTATGCCTCGTGAACGCCGGTGATTAAATGTGCTGCTACTTGTAAAGGGAAAAGAAGAGAATAAGTTGATGGCATTCTGTAACGTCTGATTGATTACAAAACTGAAGTGCCCCTGCAGTAACGTTGTTCAGGTGGAAATCTGTACTGTTAATGCATTCTGACTTCATGGTTATGTTGGTGAACGCGCACAGCAGTATGTGGAATGTACAAATGTATAAATATGTTGATTTTTAATTAAAAAAACACCCCTTTTAATTATGATTGTCATTCATTCCTTAGAGTTATGAACTCTGGGATGTGAATGGCCAAGTGAAGGAGAAAGATTCTCCCATGGTAAACCAAGCATTCACCTTGGCGGAGGTGGTCGGAGGGGAAGGCTGAGTTAAGCAAGCGCAGGGTGTTCGTAGAGATAAACGGGCGCTCTTAAAAGCTAGCGAATTTTATTTTGGGCAAGAAGTTTGATTTTGTTTTTACCTCTTCCTTGACTGAATTTGGGTTTGTACAGATTCAGGTGAAAGCAGCTACTGCCATTACAGACTTGGAAGATCTTGATCTGCCTCTGTGTAGCCAAAGCAATCCCTTCTGTGATTAACAGAGGGTCTGGTCAGTGACGGTGCGTGAACGTCCTGGAGCAATACGAGCACAAGTAGTAAATGTGGAGCCGGCAAGGTAAAACTCCAACAAACGCAG